GTAGCTTATTAAAATATTTTGAAAGGTTTTCTTTAAAATATATTTCAGGGTATATATTATAATTATAATTTAAACAGCAACAAATTTAACCATTCTTTACAAGTTTGGTAGAATTATCTTGAGTCTGGTCCAGTTCTCTCTCTTAGGAAAGGCAACGTTAACTATGCTTCTGTAATTGGTGTTTTCAGATTTTAAAGTTCTCTTTGGTAAATTTGGTAATTTGTATTTCTTCTCCAATCAACCATTTCATCCTTCCTTTCAAATTTGCAGAATTAAACAAAATATTCTATTAAAGTCTTTTAATGTTCTCTAATTCTCTGGTTATATTTCTATTACCATATCTTCTTTGTGCACTTGAGTTCTCTGACTTTTTCCTGATTAGGTTAACTTGGTGGTTGGCAAACTGCGGCTTGCAAGTCACATGCAGCTCTTTGGCCCCTTGAGTGTGGCTCTTCCACAAAATACCACAGCCTGGGCGAGTCTATTTTGAAGAAGTGGCATTAGAAGAAGTTTAAGTTTAAAAAATTTGGCTCTCAAAAGAAATGTCAATCGTCGTACTGTTGATATTTGGCTCTGTTGACTAATGAGTTTGCTGACCACTGGGTTAACTAATAATTGTCATAGAAGTGTTGTTGTTTTATTCCTCTCTTCAACATAAACTGATGAACAAAAACAGTTCCAGAGACAGAGAAGCATCAATCAGACCGTCAAACCTCAGAGGGAAGGTAGAGGAGGGTGTGGGTAAGGGGGAGATATCAACCAAAGGATTTGTATGCATGTATATAAGCATATAAATGGATACAGACACCAAGGGGGTGAGGGCATGATGGGGGGGGGGGGGAGGTAGGAGGGTTTGGGGTAGTGGGGCAATGGGAGATTAAGGACACATATGCAATACCTTAATGAAGAAAATTTAAAAAATAATACTTTACACTATTTGGTTATAGATTCCATGAAAATTTCATATATTTTAATTTTACTAAAGATAAATATTTATATTTATTCACTACAAGAAAATTTTTAGTAGGAAGTTCAATGGTAAAACAAGGAAATTAGTGAGAAAATCATATTTGCTGCATAATTTTACTCATTTATTGTCTGGTTTAGTCATGAGCACAACCATCTAATTTTTTCGATTCAATGATATTAGCTTATTATGCCACGCTAAAATAATGACATTAACCAAAATATACTTAAGTATATGTAACATTTATATAATAAATGTAATACAAACACTCAATTATTACTTCCATTTCTCTTCCTATGTTTTTCTACAGCCACCTTCTCACACTATGATTGTCAATACTTCTTATTTATTTGTAAAATACAAGTCAATTAAGTCAGGAAGTATAACTTAAATTCAAATGGGCAAAATAAGTTTTTTAATTCCTTTTCATTTTAATACAAGAGTGATATTAACATATTCTTTTAATTTGTCCATGTATTTCTCTCATACACAAGTTTTATGGCATTCAGGGGTCTTCAAACTACAGCCCGCGGGCCACATGCGGCCCACAGAGGAGTCTGATCCGGCCCGCCAGGTTTTTTGGGCAGTGAGCGCAGCTGAGGTGTTACAGTAGGAATTAGTAGTTCATATAGTCCGGCCCTCCAGCTCTCTGAGGGACCGTGACCTGGCCCCCACTTTAAAAAGTTTGAGGACCCCTGTATCTAAATGAATGTGGGGTATCTCTTGAAACAACTGAGGTCTACTGGAAATAGCACTAGCTTTGATATTATAATACCTGTGCTCTAATCTCAGTCCTAACACATATTCTTTATATGATCTGGGTTTCTTAAACTGTAAAGTAGAAATGATAATGCCCACCTAATAAAACTGTTATATATTAGTGAACACACACATCTATAATGATAAAAGCATACTATGCTACTTAGACCAGACATCTTTCCAGACGACCTTCCGACAAAGCCACAGTGTGTGGGGTTTGGGGGGCACCAAGGCAGAGGCAGCCACTGCAGCAGCTAGGGCTAAGCCACTTGCACAAATTTCATGCATTGGGCCTCTAGTGTCTAATAAAAATGGAGAATGTGACACAAATGTAATGTATATTTATCATCACCATAATATGTCCAAAGGCAAATTGATCATTTTTAATCCGGATTCCCAACACATCTAATTCAGAAAATAATAGTATGGATAGTAAAAAGTCAAGCAACAATATAGATAAACTAGGGGCCCAGTGCACAAAATTTGTGCATGGGTAGAGTCCCTAGTGGCTGCCAGCCAGGGCCTCCCTTCCCCAGCTGTCGGCTGCAGGCTGGGACCTTCCTTCATTCTATGCCACCCCCTGGTGTTCAACACATGTCATAGTGAGTGATTGAACTCCTAGTTGGTCAAACTCCCAAGGGGACACTTTGCATGTTAGGCTTCTATATATATATAGATGATTATTATACCTAAAACTCTGATTGGTGATCTATGGAAGCATAGAGGGAGCCCTTGCTCCAATCAAGGATGATTAAATTAATTAATGAAAACAATAAGCCCGAAAGTTCTTCTTTAATGTAGATTATCTCCTTTTAACAAGTACCACTTCTTTAACACAGTATTTTAACTTGCAGAGAAAATTACCAGAACATTGCTATATGACTGGTGAGGTAAATATAAGTGACTTTCACCATCTGTTTGAAGTTTTAACAAGGTATTAAGCTACTGGCCCACTAAAATGAATGTCCAATTTCTAACTCTATAATATTTTGAAACAGATGTTAACATTTTACTTTGTTGTTCCTTAATATTTGTCTTTTGAATCAACTGTAAGCTTCTTTGGTGTAAATATTTTCTTTCATGCCTTAGCTTTTTGATCACTTTATTTTTCCTGGCTAATGTTTCATATTTTGCTCTTTGATACTTTCTGTTCAGAACCTTTGGGTCTAAGACTTCAAAGTAAGCCAGACCAAATGGCCACATAAGACTAATTCTATCCAAGCATTTTAGATTCAAATGTAGTTAAAAAATGCTTGGTGTGCTTTAAGAAAAATCACTTCCTTTTTTCTATTCATCATTATAACCTAAAACACCTTTAAGTAAAAGGTAACAAATTAAAGTAATATTGGTTTACGTTATACTAGTACTTTTGGGGTTCTCTCTCATGTCAGACAAAATGAAGAAACAAAAGGAATCACATTTGTTATAACTCTTTAAAAGCTACTTCAAAAGGTAATTATCACATATAATGAAGTTACTGAATAGAGCTTTATTGTGAATGTATTTTTTTATTATATTTAAATGTTTTTTAAAAATCATAGTGCAGGCTATTTTATTTTTATTTTTTACTTATTTTTTAATTGATTTCAGAGAGAAAGGGAGAAGGAGAGAGAGATAGAAATATCAATGATGAGAGAGAATCAATGATGAGAGAGAATCCACAGTGTAGGGGTTTGCAGGCAAATGCCTACACTGTGGATTGAACCCACAACCTTAACTGTAATCGAACCCAGGACCTTTCAGTCTCCAGGTCAAGCTCTATCCACTGAGCCAAACCAGCTGGAAAAGTATAGGATATTTTTACAAAATAAATTTTAGTGTTTGTAACAATTATTTGTTGCCTATGACCACAAGTTTTGAAATGCAAAACTTAAAAATTATGAATTTATGCACTGTTATTAAGTAGGCTATCAAAACAAAACAAAAAAAAGTCCCAATAAACCATGAGTCTTTTGAGGATAGGAACCTATTTTACTCATTTTTATATATCAGCAGCCAGAAGAGAAGGTGCTCAATAAATATTTTCTTGATAAATAAAGGAAAGAATGACTAAACAGTTAAACTCAAGATTGGCTATGTAGTAACAAATGAAAAATTTAGGTAAGAAATCTACAATTTAACTTTTAAAGATATAAGGGTAATTTATAAATGAGACCTTTTAAAATTATCTAATTAATTGTTTAAGCAGAAACACACTCCATTACTTCGATCTACAATTCTCAGTAATGGAGTGATAGAACTGATTTTATAGACTCCAAAAGCACCACACAACAACACTAAAGTATGATAAAGGTCCCTAATTATGTAATGGTATTATATCAATTTTAATTTCCTGGTTTTGATAATTAGTTTGTGGGATGTACAAAAAAATTTTACTTTAGAAAATACAAGCTAAAATATTTAGGTGTAAAGGCCATTTTAAACACTAATTACACTTAAATGATTAAAAACTATATTTATACACACATACATAAGTATGTATAAGAGGAAAGAAAAAGATACAGCAAATGTAGTTAAATGTTAATATTTGAGGAATCTGGGTAAAGGGTATATAAGAATCCTTGGTACTAGTTTATAACTTACATGTATCTTAAATAATATAAACTTTAAACACTGAAAAATTATATCATTAAAATGTTTAAAAAGCCACCACACAACAAATATAACACTAAGCTCTATGTCAAAAGCACACCACTGGGTACAGGGTGAAAAAACTTTCATTCTTGCCGAAGCCGGTTTGGCTCAGCGGTAGAGCGTCGGTCTGCGGACTGAAAGGTCCCAGGTTCAATTCCGGTCAAGGGCATGTACATTGGTTGCGGGCACATCCCCGGTAGAAGGTGTGCAAGAGGCAGCTGGTCGATGTTTCTCTCTCATCGATGTTTCTGACTCTCTATCCCTCTCTCTTCCTCTCTGTAAAAAAATCAATAAAATATATTTTTTTAAAAAACTTTCATTCTTTTCTTGGAGGCCTGGATAAACCTAGATTTCTATACCAGAAGGGATAGAAACTTAAACACAGACTTTCAGTTGTAGATTCTACCCCACTACCTCTGAAATATACAAAGATTAAGCTAGAATCTTAATATGCAGTTAACATTAAAAACATGGAATTAAACTCAGAAACAAAGAAAAATAATGTGAGAGTGATTTTTCTCAGTCTTTTGAGGAACACACATTAAGTGAGAATCATTAAGTGAGGTATGTTAATAAAAAAAAGCTATAATAGAGATTATAAATTTTAAGACAGAACTAAAATAAGAAAACATATTCTTACCCAATTGGAAAATCAACATCATCACCATGAGCTGTCATGTGATAAAGTCCAAATTTAGCCAATTTAACATGTCCCTATGAAAATAAAGGGGAAAAAATCACTATGAAACATTTTAATATTAGCAGGAAAAATAATATTATATATTCTATAAGTAAAGGAACCATTATATAGTCAGATACATTAGAATATATACATAAATTTACCACAATATTATTATAAACTTACTTGCCAATGTTTAGTCTACTTTACACTTCTTACAAATATAATGTATGTATGTAAATATACATTTATATGCATGTATATGCACACATATGTGTATGTATATACGTACACAAGCATAAAAATTTTTTGATTTTTGTACTTTCCAGGCTTTCTGACAAAGCAAAAAAGCAAGTCTTCTTGTTTGCCCTGAATGCCTACTTAGAATATTTTAGGGTAATTTTCACAAAATATTTTTTTTTAGGAAGTAGCAAGTCCATTCACAACATTATAATTTAACTCTGACATGAGAGTTCTTAGTTTGAAAACATCATGTCTGAAAACATCAAATATTAGTGAATCTGCTATATTTCCAACCATTTTTTATTTGCTTTAGAACAGTTATAATTCTCACAAAATTGAGGTTCTTAATAAAAGGCAAATATATTTTATAAGTCCCTTAAATTTTCCCCTTTTATATATTTAACACTAAAAAATTAAGTAGTTTTTAAAATTGGGTTGTTTCCTTTATCTCAGAACTTTATTTCTAAGCCTTTCAAAATGTTTATAATTTAAAGAAATTCAGGTTGGTTAGATATTTTACTGCTATAAATATGAAATTCATAAGTACCATATTCTCTTTTGGTTTTGTAATATCACTGGGTAACTGTATTGAAAGTCTGTAAGAAAAACTGGGAAAAAGAGCAATCCTACTAACAGAAAATAATTCCCCAGAAAATATTCCTTCAAAACTATTTTTATATACTTACGAAAAAGAATGAAATTATGATTATTTCCGAACATATATCTAACTCTCTTAGAAGGATTGACTAGCTTCTTACTAATCACCCACTAGATTTGCAAGTAGAGAAGCAGCACTCCAAAACAAGTGAACAAGTGGTAAATGAAAAGTAAAATATAGAAGAGAAAACAGGGGAAAGAAAACAAAGATGAGAAAATACAATGCAATTGTACTATGAGAAAAATATTCTATGAAAACTGATAGGCTTTCTTAAGATGAAAGCAAATTCAGAGCAGGCGTGGATCAAGAAGCTGCAATGCATTTTTTTTTTTTTAGAAACTGAATGGAAGAGAAAACAAAACGGATGTTAGAAACTGACTTTTTGGGAAAAAAGAATAATGCATGTGAAAAACACATGGACTTACATAATTTAATTACACTTGCTTTTTTCTAACACCACAGATGTTAGCTAGCTTTCACACAGTCTTTTCGTTATGAATAATCTTAAAACATATTCTTATCCTACTCTCTGATTAACTAAGTGGGCTTGATTTCAGTAGCTTTCAACCTCAAATAATAAACAAACATTTAATGTATTATTTGGCAATTACCTTTCGATCCAAAAGGATATTATGAGGAGACAGCGCCCGATGTACTATACCATGTTTGTTCATATACTGCAAGCCCTGGAGTACCTCAAATGCTATGCACAAAACCTTTGAACAGCTACAAAGGAAACAAAAAGTCACAGATCAATTACAAAGTAGATATAAAACCAATTTTAGTGAATGAGTTAAGGTTTTGTGACAAAATTCAAAATTATATTTACTGTTCCTCTTCTATTACGAGAGAATAGTCTATACATTTTCTAAAATATCCACGTGTAAATATTTTGCGTTTTATAACTATAATAGGATTATATCTGACAAAGATCTTACAGTTTCCTAAAGGCTACACTAATAGCACATCTGTTCTCTCCTGGAAGAAAATTTAATTGTGGTGGTGTGCAAATGACGTTCTGTAGGTTTAACTATGCTAAATTGTTAAGAAAGTTTCAGATAGATGGCAGATTGGTTCTACCAAGTCAATGAAAATCATCTATCTTGCTCAAAACAAAAAATAACTAAGTCCCTGAAATATAACTACAATATATTTTATGGCAGAGAGACATGATCCTACTTTTCATATCAATCCACAAAGCAACTTATAGTACCTTATATTTATCAAACATTTTTATTTAACTCTTATCTTATTCCCTCTCCCTAAGACATCTTCCATAAAGATGACCAGTTTCTTTTTATTCTTTCCCTCTTTATCTCTTTCCATTAAGAAAAAAAAGAAAAATCAGATATCATTCATGTGGGGAGTTAGAAATAACTCCAGGCGGGCCATGGGTGGCTGGGCAGTTGCCATCCTAGGCTTGCTTGTGCCTTGGGCTGGCCCTGGGGGGCTGAGGCGACTCGGGGACTCGGCCTTGTCATACACCTGCTGCCCAGGGCTGAGGGGACTGGGTGCTGCCACCTTGTGGCTGTGGGCACCACCATCTTTGAGGGCGTGACAACCAATTAGCATATTGCCTCCTTATTGGCTGTGAGTGCCACCATCTTTGAGGGTGAGGTAGTCAATTAGCATATTTCCACCTTGTTGACTGTGTGTGGGTGGCACCAACTTTAAGGGCATGACAGTCAATTAGCATATTCCCTCATTATTGGCTGTGGGAACTACCATCTTTGCGACAGTGTGAGGGTCAATTAGAATATTCCCTTTTTATTAGATAGGATAATTAGCTCTTCACTATGCATAATGATATAATTAATATACTTTTACAACCTTCCCATTTTCCTTTCCTAACTTCTGATTTTTATTATTTATACTGTCAATTTTTAAATGAGATTTAAAAACCTGCATTCCACTCTTGAAGACTAACCAAGTAAATAACTGAATATATAATATGACATATAGTGATCAAATGACAAAGAGAAAAAGTAGAAAAGAGAAGAGAGGATGTAGGATACCAGGTTGATAAAAATATATATATTAGAGGCCCAATGCAGGAAATTTGTGCATGGGGGGTTGGGGGTGGAGGTGTTCCTCAGCACAGCCTGAACCTCTCCAATCTGGGACATCCCTTTCACAAACCAGGACTGCTGGATCCCAACTCCTCACTGGCCTGCTTTCCTAATTGCCTGATCATTCCCTAACCACTCCCCTGCCAGACTTACTGATGCCTAAATGCCAGCCTGATTGCCTCTAACTGCCTTCCCCTGCCATCCTGGTCACCCCAACTGCCCTCCCTGCCAACCTAGTCCCTCCCAAGTGCCCTCCCCTACGGACCAGTTCCCCCCCCCCCCCCCCCCCCCCCACTGCACTCCCCTGCCAGCCTCATCATCCCTAACTGCTCTCCTTTGCTGGTCTGGTCCCCCCAACAACTGATCTCCCCTGCAGACATGGTCCCCCCACTGCCCTTCCCTGCAGGCCTGGTCCCTCCCAACTTCCCTCTCCTGCCAGCCTGGTCACCCCTAATTGCCCTCCCCTTCAGACTTGATTATCCCCAAATGCCCTTCCTTGCAGCCCTGGTCTCTCCCAATTGCCCTCCCCTGCTGGCCATCTTGTGGTGGCCATCTTATGTTCACATGGGGCAGCCATCTTCTGTGTGAGAGATATGGTCAACTTGATATTACTATTTTATTAGATAGGATACTAGAGGCCAGGTGCACAAAATGTGTGCATGGGTGCAGTCCCTAGGCCAGGCTGGCGATTGAAGCACAAGTGTCTGGCATGGAAGGGTAGGTTCCAGCTGACTGTGGGCCCTGGGCAGCAACTGGTCCCCTGGGACCCGCATGCTCCCCTCTGCCTGAGTCATGGCACCTGAGTCCTCATGCAGAAATGAAGTGATCATGGCCAGACACTGTGGGCCAGGGTGCAGCATGGGCCTCTGGGTTAGGGTCACAGTCAGCGGTTGAACTCCTAGTTAAAGGGACAATTGCATATTAGGAATTTATTATATAGAAGGGTATCTTCCATTGATTTCAGAAAAGAAGGGAGAGGGAGAGAGCAATAGAAACATCAATGACGAGAAAGAATCATGGATCGGCTGCCTCCTGCATGCCCCACACTGGGGATTGAGACCACAACCTGGGCATGTGCCCTGACAGGGAGTCAAACCTTGACCTCCTAAGTCATAGGTTGATATTCAACTACTGAGCCACATCCGCTGGGCTCTTGTTCACATTTTAAAGGAGAGAGAATTAACACTCCAGAGGTTGATTTGCTCAAAACAGCCAAGTTTCACAGTGGCACAGTTGTGATTCATGCATTGGTGGGGGGCTGGCCTGCAGGATTGCCTGCTGTGGGAGTGCTGCTCATCCTGGTCAACCAGGGGTGCTCCTACTGTGGGAACACACTAACCATCAGGGGGCAGCTCCTGCATTAAGCGTCTGCCTCTGGTGGTCAGTGCGTATCATAATGACTGACCAACCGATTGTTCTGGTAGTTCCACCAATCAGTCGCTGGGTTTTTATTATTTAGGATATCCTTAGCAACATTTTGATCCAGCAAAGCTTCATTAAGTAGGTAATATTTATGCAGACATCTAACGGAAGTGAAAGAGATATTCAGCTCTCTCAGAAATGTGTGATTCAGGCAGAGGGCACAGTAAGCAAGTCCTCAAGGTGGAGAATACACAATTCATAGGGGAAATTAATTTTAAAACACAGCATGTCTTCAAATATCTCACTCATGCCCTCAAATTTGGATTTCTTCATCGTCTTTGAGTGTTCTCCATTAATGTGGAGAAGTCTAATGTCCAGCTGATTCTCACTTTGTTGCAGGTACCATGTTATGCCTCTTTGGAGGCTTTCAGGATGGTTTTTCACTTTATCTTTAGACAAAATTTTAGCCCAATATGTCTAGAGTGTGGGCATTTGTGCATTTGTGCTAGTAACATTAGGTATGTCCTTTTAAGACCCATATTCCATTAATACAAAAAGTTGATTTGTATATTTTTCATTATTTTCACCTTCCATTGTATCTTTTAATTGAAACTCTTGGTGAGCAGAAGAAAATTGGATCTATTTTCTATATCAATTTTCTGTTTTATTTCCCATGAGCATGGCCTTTAGCCTATGTACTCTACTAATTAATTTAGGATCTCTCTTCTGATATCTAGTTATTCCTTGCCTGTGGCTTTGTTACTCTTTTGAGTCTCTCTGAGGATAGTTATTAGAATTCTTTTAATTCAGGAAGCAAAAAAGTATATTAGCTTCATTTTCTCTGGGTAAGACTGTGTGTGTTTTTTTCCCTTGGCTCTCTTTCTTTCAAACTATTTTTTTCCCCCCTTCAATTATTTGGTAATTTCTGGTTCTGAGCTATATTTTAAAATTAAAAAATAAGTTGATATTCTCTGTGAAGTGTTTAAAAAACAAACAAAAAAACCTTACTATTAATAAAGAATGCTATTTAAACTAACTTGTAAACTATGCCTCTTTATCAATAGTTTCTACCATGTTAAGTTGTCACAACAGCCAGTCCTAAGCAAATATGGAATGTGAGAAACAAGAACTTATAGTTTTCACTAAAATTCTCAAAAAATAAATCATCTACGTAAAGGAAAAGATTACAAACTTTAAAACAATTATAATTACATTAATAAAATGTGAATATGAAAGCATGACAACCCTTTCTTCTTTCTTAAAAACAAAGAAAGATTGATTAACAAATAAAAGCACCTAGTTTTTTGTTTTTGTTTTTAGCTCATTGTGTTTTATGCTGTCAACACTAAAGTAGTAATCACTCTTGTCCTTGTTCGTTCTCTCTCTCTCTGGCACAAACTTCACAAAATCTTAAAAGCTGGTGTTATATTCAGCTGTAACAGTAGAGGACCTCAGTTGCACACTACTTCAATACAAGCATCTTTCTCATGAAAATGAAAATTAAACTTTTAAAGTAATTTTCCACTAAACCAGTTCTGAAACAGCTAAACACAAAGGACTGAATATTTTACTTCCTGTATTTGCTTGTGCTAATTGATTATAAGATATAATTGGAAAATATTTGTAGGTTAAAAAGCACATTTATGCTATTTTCAAGCTGAAGAGCATATACATTGCATTAGTTTTTAAAAATTTAAACATAAAGCTGAAGCTCCTGGCATACCTTTTCTTAGCTATTTCTTAGCCATGATGCTTAATGGACTCATTACCCTTCAGTTCAAATAATATTTGTTGTGGATTTTTTTTTGCCTTTTTTATACTTTTAATATTTAGTTTTATAATAAAATATAAAATAAAAGAAGAAAAAAAGTTATTTTGAATAATTAGAAGAAATCAGTATTTGTGGAATTTTGCATACTTATTTGTTTTTAAAAACTTTATTCTTTAATATGGCAAATAACTTATACCATGAAATTATTTAAAATTTTATGATAGTTTGAAGTAGTTAATGCAAGTTTAATGCAACAGCAAGGTAAAAAAAAATCATATGCCCAGTAATAGTTAGTGCATTACAGTTTAATTGAAAAAGGCCTCTAGAAGGAGAGTTAAAATAAAAGAATGTGATTCACACACTTAAAAACAAATATTATCAGGGGACAACATGATTTTATTCTACACAATTCCCAAGTCAGAGTCTTGTTAATAAAGAAATCCATCACTAACCTGGAAAATGTAAATTAAACTTCAGGTCATAAAATAATCTCTTTTTGAAACTTGCAGTTACTATTATCAGTC